CTAGCGCAACGCTACGGCAGCCCTGCTGCAGTGCATAAGTTATCGAGCATTGGGTGATGAAGGCGCGTCGTCTTACCCGTTTTACGGCTTTACAAGTAGATTTAGAGAAACAGACGACCAAAAAATCTGTGACTTCGCGAGTATGTGTGAGCCGTCGACTCGAGTTGGTGCTACAAATAGCGCTGTTCATATCTGTAAGCCTACCGAACAGCTGCAGGCCGAATCTCGAACTCAGGTGCGCTTAATATTGATAGGATAACCAATCCGTTACGAGGCCGCACCTTAGTCTCAGAGATTGCACTTACTACATGCGTAGATAGTACGACACCATTTGTTAAGATGTTTCCCCCACGTTGAACTCATGTGAATTTCGTCTGCCTCTGGCATTTGGATGTCACGCTCTATTTTACAAACGGTTTGATAATATATTGGCACTGTTTTGACTTAATGATATCAGCACGGCTACAATTTGTTGCAAAATTGAGAATTTTATCGCGAAGGCATGCACTACACTTACTGTCGCTAAGAGCGGGAGTATTTTTCGCAAGTACCTCGACGCCTCGCACTAGTGCTTCGAAGGAAATGCGATTAATGCGTTCTAACCATCCGTCCGTTGATAATCTGCCGCGGACATGCCCAACCTGGTTGATGCCTTTACGCCTTCCCGGGCTATTGGGACGATGGCTCACTGTCGTTCTATGAGAGTGAGCGAGGCATTACTATAGACTGCTGCGCCAATCCAATCATGAAGTAAACTTTGGTTTAACTCGAAGAATCCGTGGACTATCCAAATGAGATCGCACCTTTAAGATCACATGCATCATCGTAGCCTTACACACAAGCAAAGGTTTTGCAACAAGCATGTGTTATATTATATTCATTCTCTGCTGTTTATTGCGATCAAAGTAATAAAGTGACAATCAACATTGAACGAGTCACTGTATAAGTTTGATCGAATTTGCAGCTTTTGACCCGTTACATTAGCCACGCAACCAGAACAAGCGAGACAGCTAGGTTTACAAGTTCATAAAGCATCTGCAACAATTACAAGCAGCATCAGATAAATATCTTGTTGGCAATTTTAAAAAATCAGTCATATTGTACCTTTGGTGCAAAGACACTCCAGATGAATAGATGGAAGCGCATTAAATACACTACAACGCTAATGAATGGAAAAAATCCACATCAAGAGGTCAACAAGGAGGGAAAACAATCTAATAATTGTGCAGAAAGCGTACGTGTAAACGATAAAGCGAAGTGTTTGGTAGGTAAAGATCGCCAATCTTGCTGTTTGTCTTGTAGTTAGTGAATTCGCAGTTGTTTTGGGTGTAGTCTTCAATATTTGAAACAGATTCACGAAACACACGAGTGGACCGGAGAAGACGCTGACAAACGTCAACATACCAACCAAAGTCTGAGAATACGAAGATAACCCGTGGTAAGATTGGCTGATATCGATTGTGGTCACCAAATGTGAATTACCCAGAGCAAAAAATGCTGCTTGTGACAGCCACAACATCAAACCCGCAACAAAGACACCATTTTGTCGAAATGCACGAGCTTGTTCGCAGTCAAGTAGCGTTTCAACTAATTTCAGCTGTAAGCAAAGAGCGCTGAGAGTTGGGAAGTTGGAGCGACGTTGCAGCAAACCAACAAGAAGCCAAACGACCATCTCAACAAGCCAAGTACGCAGGTTGTGTCCTGTGGTGATCATCAATACTGCGAGGAGTAGGATACAAATGTACACCACACGAGCACTCGAATCTAAGTTTATGGACATCCATCCTGTCCAAGAAATCAGACTGTTGTTCTCCATCGTGGTCTGGTCTGATAGCTCCTTAACTCGATAGCATGCCAGCATACCAACAATAAATAGTACTCCGCTAGAAATGCCCACAAAGACATGAAAGAATCTCACTCCCGGTTTGAATGTTCTGACGCGAACTGCTCCTTTTCGCAGCACTACTCCGCATATCAAAGCTACAGAGACGCTAAGCGGAAGTATATTTGGCGACAGCATAGGAGATGTCGACAGTATCGAAACCGAGTTGTCTAAGGCAAACTCGTTTCCTGGAATGTTTGCATCAATTTGAAGCTCATTTAGTCGCCAAAAGTTTATGATCTGGTTGCGTTGTCTCAGCATTCGCGTAAGTATTAACGATAAAATAAGCAATCCGATTGGAAATACCACATGGCTGAACTTGTTTTGCCGTATGAGAATAATTCCAAGCGTAACGAGAAGAGAGGTCGTCATAAAGAAAACTGTAGCGTGCTCATTCTCAATCAACGAACTAGACGATAAGCTCAAGATGTGTAAGACGCTGCCGACACCGAGAACAATATATAAATGACCTATTTCAGGTGATCCCTTTAACTCTAATTTGGCAGCATTCACGAGCATTGTCGTCGCAACAACCATACTGAACATAAGAAGCATTAACCCCCCAAAAATCGCCATCGGATTGTACTCCGACCCGTCACTCTGTTGGACTTTATCTCGCAAAATTTGACAAGCTTCAAATGTTTTCGTTACGAAATGCTGATCAATAGCACCTTCAACTCCATTTTCATTCAGCAGACTATCGCGCAGTCTCTTAAGTGGCAATTGAAATCTCTGATCAAAGCTCGATAATTCAGCAGCAAGAAACTTAGTTCTAGCAAGGGCATACAGCTGCTGAAAGTTATGGTATAGTGCATGCAAATAGTATGACTCGTGATTTGCGGCAACATCAGAGGAAGCTCGGACAACATCCTCTAACAGCAAGCCGGTGCTATACAGAGGAATGGGGAAACCGAAAAGTGATGAAATTGTAGGTACCAAATCCACTTGACTTCGCTTTTGCTCATAGAAAAAGCCTGAAGCATGCATCGGCTTACCGTCGCCACGCATGAACATCAATAATGCTGAAGACTCTTCCAATGTAGCCCCACCATGGTTACCAACCTCTGACATGCCATGATCGCTGCACAATACTATTAGTGATGGTCGCACTGAGCTATTTTTTTCCATTCTATGAGTATCTTGATCACGTACGGACTTTACGACCAACTTCATCATCTGATCCATTTCTTGCAACTTATCTGTCATTAGCGAGGATCTCGGTCCACGGAGGTGACCGACATGGTCTAAACCTAAATAATGTAGCACTAGAACGTCCCAATCCCCACTTTTCTCGCTTTGCATCTTTGGATCTAATTCTTCACTCAAATGTCTCGTAACATTTACATCCACTTCTACAGTATCCTTTGTATAAAAACCGGATGTCCCATCCGATCGTATAAAAGTCTTAGGAAATAACCGAAGCCACGTGTCGTCCCCATAAAATACAATGCGCTTACCACTTGCCTTGAACAGCGATAATAAGTTTGCATCACTATCTAGCGCTGCTGAATTGAAATTTTTTAAAATGTCGATAAATATTGGAGCTTTGCCAGTCACGAGCGCTTTAAGCCGAGGCATCGTCACAGTAGGAACACTGGCATGTGCGACGTAGCCAAGAGCTCTGCCAGACGTTACGAGGCTGCTGGTAAACGGCATGTTGACATTAAGCTCTCCTTTTGACCGACCTCTTTGTCCATACTCATCACCGCGCATTGCAGTGCTACACAGTACCATATCAGCTCGAAGTGCGTCAATTAATACTATCACAAGACGGTCGTACGCCGCTTTGGGCTGCTGTTGGTCAAAGTGAGCGTTTAAATCGAGAGAATCGAGCGATGAGCTCTGAAAAAAAACTTCATTAAGACGCAGCAAGCCACTTGAGCATAGATAAGCTCCTAATCCAGCGCACACACACAGATAACGAAGTAACGTCATAATGCACTTGCAAAATGCATCTTTACATGAACTTTACACAAATCTTTAACTTGGAATCTTTCTATTATGAGTAATTACTATTGGCCATACGGCGGTTCTTGGCCGAAGGATCATTGGCACCGAAGCGTGCACGTAGTACGTTATAGCGACAGAGCGCGTCATCGATATTTATATACGTGCCTTGGAGGTGACGTACGCCACCTGAAGTAGGCGTAAATTTCTTTCGTCCGTGCAATAACCTACGCTGGTTAAATATTACGGTGTCACCTTCTCTCAATCGGAACTCGTAGCGGTGCTTATCACCTTCAACAAGTTCGTGAAAGACCCGATACGCATCGTAGTATGGCATAACGTCTTTAAATGCAACACGCAGCGGTCCTTCAAACGGTGGACTCCAGTGCACAGCAATCACCTCGTCACGATGGTTTAGTTGAATATGAGGGCGCTGAAATTCCATTATCGTCGCATTTTCACGTGTGAGATGGTGCTTTTTGAATGTCGCGGGTACACGAACCAATGTAGCAAAGTGTTGAGGGTATAGACGTCGAAACGCGTCGGCAACAGCAAAAACATCTACAAATGTGGACTCGCCACCCGTGACAGACTCGTCAAAACGCAAAGCATGCAAAAGCTGAAAGCCAGGTGGAGACTCATAATAAGCTAAATCCACGTGATTCTTCAAATAGAGAGTGGTGTATGCAATATTGACCTGTTGATAGAAACCATGCAAGTATTGGACAATGTGATTGGCAAGATAATAGTCAATTACTTCAGAACTTACAGGCGTCGGCTCCGCGACCACGTCAAAGACATCGCCATATTGAAATCTATTCAAAAAACAAATTTGTTATGTCAACAAGTTCAAATCTAGAAAAAAGCTTCGAAATGCTATGTACGAGTGCGATATTGGAGCAATGCGCTCGGCAAGCGATTTAACAACTCGTGGTTCCAGTGGAGTATTGCGTATGACTGTAAATCCATTTTCCACAACCTGACGTAGCGCTTCGTACAAACCCTCGTCATCACTTGTGTCCATCATTCGTGCAAAATCCGTCGTGGGGACGGGAGCGTCAAGCGGTAATGGAATTGTCGCCATATCATGAGCGTGGTGATCCAGCGCCCAATCTGAGTAACTGTTTTCAAGTAGCCACTTGCACGAAAATCTGGACTCATGGTGGTCATTCCAAACGATGTTCAGCGTATCGCCCTTGACTGTAACAGATTTGTCAAATATATCTATTTCGAACAAATAAACGGCATATACGTACCATATACTTTTTCAATATCAAGCCATTCCTTATCAATATCAGAGCTATTGATGATTCGCTGTCCTGTTAAATGACCACACTGTGGACACGGACACCACGTTCGTAGATGCAGCAAATGAAATTTGCTTCGTTTACCATCTTGCCAGCGCAGAATGATAAACTCACGATGTTGGACGTCCACTCCAAGCAGCTACAAGATAGTATAAGTACATGACATCTCCAATTCTAATAAACACCTAAAATTACCTCTTTCGTAATAGAAATTGGTTTGTCATGACTATTCGTTACACTAAGGAATTGGCGGCATTGTTTTGCGTTCGCCATACAAGGTACTACAAAATTCGGTCGAAAATATGGGTAAAATGTACATATTCATTCTCTTCGAGTTTCCAGCTGAGAACTTTCCGAGAAATAAACATACCTTTATGTTTATAGCTCCGATAGAAATTGAATGCACCGGACCGAGGCTGCGAAGAAGAGAGGACGACATGAGCGATCGCGCAAGTTAATCGTCGCATGGAAAGGGCTTGTAAGCGCATTATAGACAACGACGGCTGAGGTAGTGAAATTAACGAGTGAGTAACGCTTTCTCAAATTTAAACACCTTCGATAAGGCTATGGACAATAACCACTGGTGTATGTCGATTATTATTTCAACACAGAACCGGATTCAGCGGTTATGTACCAGCGCTTTGTAGCTGTGAGGATCCTTACAACAACGTAGAATCTCTTTTGACGGAGAAGCGAAAGAGAACACGGTTATCATAGATTCAAAAGCTAAATCTCTATGTCTGCTTAATTGAGTTAGCTAGTAGTGTTTGGCGTGTTGCTGGCGTGGTCAACCAAACGGTTCAGAAGCTCACGAACCTCGACCGTATCGCGTAACGTGAATGAAGCGTCAGTGGACAAACTCTCTTCGGCCACGATAATGCCCACACCTTTGCATTTAGAGGGCGCTTGGAAGAGACGGAACGCATCTTCATCCGTAGTGTCATCACCAATATAGATAGTGAAAACATTGTCTTGCTTATCAAGTCCAAGAGCTTGCAACAGCCACAGCAGCGCCTTGCCCTTGTTCCAATCCATCTTGGGTTTGTATTCATATACCATCTTTCCTTCATTCATCCTGAACAATTTAGGCACATAGAGTGTGAATACGCTGTCAGCATTGAACCCGTTCAAAGTATCAATTGTACCTGATAAGAGGGTAACGGTCTCGAACACTGTGCGCAAGACTTGAAATCTGCGTTTTGAGTCCAGGGTCAACATTCCTACAAGTGTATCATCAACAATTTTACAAGTCAAAACTACCGTCGTATATTTGTAGTCGTATGGTATATCACCTGTAGTGCAGAGAGATTGAGAATACATTGTCTTCAACTTCGGCTCCTGGGATATGTTTGATTTGCTCTTTAAGCTCGTCACGAAGAGCGTTCAAATCAGGTAAAAATTTCTCCGCCACTTGATTTTTGATTGAAGTACCATCAGGACCTTCGATATCAAACCCGTGGCTTCCAGCATAGTGAAGTTGCGGAATGCCTACAAACTTCTGAATCTTGCGAAGCGATCGGCCAGATATTACACCCGTTGTAAACTTCGTGCGAAGCTTCTCGAGTGTATCCTTCGTTGCAGGTGACAGAAGCGCTAGTGCAGGATCGTTAACGATCGGTGTGAGTGTTCCATCATAGTCTAAGAAAATGACAAGGCGATGATCGCGAAATTGCGCCAGGAGCTCGTTAAACTTCACCAGCGCGTTTGCATCCGTGACCGAGAGTCGACGTGGCACTCGTTGCTCGTGCTCACTGGTGTTTGGCAGCGACTGCATCTCAGTCCCTACGGATGAAGGAGTAGATGTTGTGGTCATGGTACCAATCGAACTGTGCGACGATAAGAGGAGACTAAAAGGTCATTTGCATTCTTTGGTCAAGATCGTGGTAATAGTGGATTCTTTGAACTCTGACGACAGCTAATTCTGAAATCTATTAAGCCATTGATTGGACGATAGGTTGAACGGAGCATGTTCTGGATTGAAAAAAGACTACCGTTTAGAATACTCCTGAGTCGAAAAACTGCAGAATTTAGTAAGCCAAATTTTAACGAGTGTTTCAAGGTTGTTCTAACGAGATATATTCGAAATATCCCAATCCAAAGGTTCTTCGTTGAAGAGCATGCGTACAGTATCGCTGCACAATCGCAACAAATATTCCAGATGAAGGAAAATAAAATTTTTAATGCGCATCGGTCACTGCAAAGTCTGATGGATGAATACACATTCGCGCCAACATTGTGATAACCGCTGAGATACGCCGCTAGCAAGTTCACAGTAAGAAGATGTGCCGAGAGGATTGTAAGAAATTGCCGGGATGCTGCTGCAGAACATGAACATGAAGCATATACATTTTGTTTGGCGACTATAGTGGGACTCGCAGCTATAGCAAGAAGTCGTATTAAAAACAATATTTTCTGAAAGATTCAAAGATTTGCTCTGAATTTCGCGATGAGATATTTTTTTAACTTTGATCTGCAAGATAAAGTCAGTCATATTGAATTTGGTCAAGCTTACAACTATGTCTAAAAAGACAATTGATTGCGAACAATTTGTTAGTGTAGAATGTTAATCAATCTATCAAATTACTCGGTACCTCATAACATTGTATGCATATATTTGAGCGAATTTCTACCGTCATCAAAGCACTAACGATACCTATCCTTAACAAACATCCTTTGAATTTTCATTGCCAATTTAGCTACCTTATTCAGCTACATTTTCGTTAAGGCTTACAACTCACCAACAATGATCAAATCTTTTTCTAAGACATAGTATCGAGGATGCGATAAGCGCGGAAAGGCTAATGCTGTCGTAGGTGTTGTAGGGTTTTCGGAGAGTAAAGCACCGACTGCTCGAAGCCCGCCAACCTGCAAGCAAACTTATTGTCATTAAACAAAATACAAGTGTAAAGGATCTCCTTATGTGTCTCACAAATGTTGGGGCGATGGTGACGATAACAAGGTCAATAAAGTGTTTCTGTGAGGCTGTCTGCAGACACGATGTCAAGATCCCTGACCCACCTTCGACCATAACACTTTGGATACCATTCTGTTTTACCACTCCTGTCATATCAGCATCCCAATTCCATTCATCAAATAGTTAGAATATTGGCATCATAGTAGATTTTGCATGCGTACGCAGAGCGTCAAAAAGATCGACGTGATCGCAACCATCACGTCCGGACTTAATCTTGCATTCCAAGACTTGAGCCCCCAAATTTTCGAGAATTTCCTTTCGTTTTTGAAGTTCTTCAGCTGAGTATATATATATAAGGTTATGGTTATGGCTCGCAACATTAGTTATGGTAAGCATTTGCCATCCCACTTTCATTTTGCGATCCAAGGCCGAATAAGATGATTGGTTTCTCACAGGTCACCGATGTAAATAACTTGATATTAGTCGGACAGCGCAAGTGTGTGTCGATTATAATCGGCCGCGGGTTAAGGCCTACGTTAGTGGATTATTAGGTACAGTCGTGCGCAACGATGTATCATATATCTGACGGCACCTTCTGCCAGCCTTGCATTTAGCGATGGATTATCCGCAAGTATAGTACCTACACCTACCATGATGCCTTCGTGCAGCGTGCGCAACATATGCGTCATTTTCATCGATGCCGGCCCACTAAGCAGTGTTGGCTTGCCTTGACAAACGACTAGCTGTCAGTGTAGTCGAAATACTATTGCGTCACACGCACCTCTTTCTACTGCTAAAGAGCCGTCAATGCTCTGCGCATAAGTGAGGGTCATAAACGGCATTGATACTAGGCTTTCATTATCACACTTTCGCCTCCAGCTCTCTTGCGCCATGCAAACCTGACGCCGTATGTCCGGATGCACTTCATCAAGCATGATGCCTTAGATAAAGAATATGCTTGATTTTGACCAATCCACGATTAATTAAGTGATAGGCCTGCTGGTTGATACAAGAGTAATGCTGCTGCGGAACGCGATGGAGTGCGCTGTAAAGTTGTTTCAACACAATTTTCTCCCGACTACTCAAAGACCGGCATTGATATTGTCGCCACTAATGCTCAATGGCGCTTCCATAGCCATGCCTTCTGATTTGCTGGGCAGAGCGATTTGGTTAGCTGCCCCCAAGTCCAAGGTACTGACAGCTGACTTAGAGAAGCAACTAGAGTAGCTATACAGCAAAGTGGAAGATCGTGGTAGTCTAACAAAAAGATGAATGGTTTGTTATTTAGGTGACGCCATCTCGTAAGAAAATTCGAAACAATGACCCAACCAAGCGACTTAAGAATATCGTGCACTTCCAGGACTGTACTATGTGTGGCGAGAAGAAGTTGCGCCACCGTTTGTGCATGAGTTGCTACAAAAAAGGAAAATACTTTGTGTAGTCAGCTTGAGACAACAACTGTTTGAGATCTACAGGGCGTGGAAGCATAACTTTAAAAGTAGATTTAGGCCAATTGACCTACTCAATCACTTCATAATCGCTTAGACTTATCAGGCATAATCTCCTCTTTATATAATTTGCAATAACACAAAGTTCATGCTTGTCATTGGCCGAAAGCTGTTAAAGCAGATCTGATGGATGACGTTTCAATCGGCCTCGAGATTGAGAACGCGTCGTTCCTAAGCTCATCAACAACAGCTGAAAAGGAATTACCCAAGCCAATATTGGTGCCTGTCCCGCTTCCGCCACCAACGGTAGTTTCTGTCACTTCATCGCCCAACCCCTTTGCTTCGACGCCACCTCAACCGGTTGCCAATGTCGACGAGAGTTTGCGGGTGTCGTACCACTGCAAAGCCATCAAATGCTTTCGTCTTCAATGGGAAGCGGAAGGTCAGGACTTCTATTGAATTGTCAAGAGTTGCATCAGATTCTAATTACACACTCTTTGAAACTCATCGCTTTCTCCATTAGTCAACCCCCGGTGCCCTCGTCAAACGACAATTGTGATAAAAAACGCTGTCTACGTATTCGACGGCTATTATTTATTATGTCATGGTGAGCCGCCTGAAATACCAAGGGTGAGTACTTCGATTAAGCTGCGGTTTGTTTAATCTCATCATCTTGTACTATGTTCTTTGCAGTTTGAGTACACGCGAGGAGGCGTCATGTGCAAAATTCACTTCATTCTTGAAGACCTTCCATCTTCTTTGCGCGGAACAACTAGCAACGATGTGGATGCTGATGTCAATGGTGAAGCTCATCGATCGTTCTGCGACTCGTTATCTTTACTGCAAAGATACATTTTCCAGCAACTTCTCGGGATTCAGCCGGCTCATTTGTTTAGGAAGGTATTTCCTGACCCAACTCATGCTACTGGTGATGCATCTGAAATTTGTGGAGACTATCACTTGGTGCCTCGATTTGTTGCCGTGAATGAAGAGCCACTCCTAAATGCAAATGACCTGCGTTCCCCAAACCGTGTAGGATACGCTATAGGACGACTATTACCTGTGCAAAAGTTACTGGAGTACCTAGATAATAGCGCAAAATTTACCGTGCTCGATTTCTTAAAACAATTTGATCACCAAGAGCTTGTGGACTGCATTGTTTCCACTCGAATTAATGGCCAGCCGAATGCTTTTCGCATCGATGAGCTATTAATGGAATCTAAAGAAAATGTAGACGTCGAGCTGTCAGGCATACTAACTAAAGATGGACGAAATGTTGTTCGTGCCATTGCTCACCACGGCGAAGGAGCACGCAATTACGATGGAGCTAAATCCAAAAAGAAAATTCGCAAGTGGCAGGAGATGGGAAAGTTTTTACAGCTGTCACCTGAAGTTGAGCCTTGTTCTCTTGAACTTCGTCCAGGAGACTGTCATCTGACAGGTATCCGTGCTGATGTATTCGAGGTCGGGAGCGCTATGCCAATGGTACTTAAGTATGTGCGGCATTTTAGTTTGCTAAATAGCTTTGCAAAGACAATGGGACTTACTTTCCACGATACGACGCTGTTACGTCAAGCATTCACTCATGGTTCATATGTTGACGTGGGTATGCAGAATGTCAATACAGTAGAAGCCACACGATCGCGTGTGCGGCTTGGACACGTCTTTAATAATGTTGCGTCGCTCAAGCGATCGCGTAGTATGCTGCTTAATGGAGACTTACCCATGTCGGGCAAGGTTGCAGGAAACAATGCTGCTCAGCTCCGTCAAGTGGCTAAGATGCATTTATCGGGTGAATTTAAAGAAGAGTTTCATTCGCGATACTTGTGTCCATACGAGCGACTGGAGTTCATGGGTGACGCTGTGCTCAGTTTTCTTGTGGCATCGTCGGCGTTTTTAAAACTTCCAGACGTCGATGAAGGATTTCTTCATCAAACTCGTGTTGACATTGCCAGCAACGACAATCTCGGCAAACTGGCTAAAACTGCAAATTTTGAGTCGCTGTTGCTTAGTGCTTTCGACGTTACCTCGCTGAATGAGGAAGTGAAGTCGAAAATTACCGCTGACTGCTTAGAAGCGCTTTTAGGAGCACTTTACAAAGACCAAGGAATCGCTCCGTGCAGAGAACTTCTGGGTAAACTCATGGACATGCACGACCCTGAATTGCGCGAGTTGTGCTACTTATCTACAGATGACTTGATGACAAAAGCAAAATTGTATGTTGTGAAAGACCAAGCTGTTATCAAAGCGTGGAGTAAGTATACCAGCACTCGACTAATGCATCGTCGCTTCACCGCATGTTCTGGCGTCAATATCGCCAACACGCACCTATGGCTTCAAGCGTTTACACATGCTTCATTCCAGAAGCCCAAAATCGGGGATGACGAGTTTATTGGGCATGATCCAAGCTACGAACGGGTCGAATTTCTGGGTGACGCTGTGCTCCAGCTACTATCATCCGAGTTTTTAATCGATGCATTTCCGTATCACCAAGAACATCTATTGACGCAAGTACGGTCATCACTTGTAAAAAACAAGAAATTAGCTATTGTTGCACGCACAGCGGGGTATGAAGAGTTTCTCCGTCTAGGAAATGATATCAAGCAAGGCAGTAATTTGTATGTTGAGGACGTGCTGGCTGACGCATTTGAAGCAACGCTCGGTGTCGTTTTTCTCGAGAATCCAGGCGATCTTAGCAAGGTTCGCTCAATATTAGAGCAATTGCTCTTTCCTAGACTTACCGAAGCTATCCGACGTCGTCAGTGGATGGAGCCCCGCAAGGTTTTCACGCATTATATTACGCAATGGAGCCGCTCTAGTATGCGGCCAATATCGTGCCACTTTAGGACGATTGAGGTTCCAATGTCAAACGCGTCGAATAATGTATTAGTGCCTAAGGTTTCACCAAATGGAAGCAACAGTAAGAAGGTGAAGAAAACAAATGCATTTCCTGGACACGCTGTGGCTCTTTACGTGAATAACTTCCAAGTTGCACGTGCAGTCGGACGTACCATTTCGGCTGCTCAAGATGCTGCCTGTCGAAAAGCTTTAATGCTTTACGGAGTTCGACTACATGATGACTAAGTTGACTTCAAAACTTAAATCCTCGATTCGAATTAAGTATTTATTGTACCTGACTCTGTGAGTGCCATTCAACCCTTTATCTTTTCTTCCTGAGCCACTTTGGCTGGAATTGGCGGAGGACCGGGAGGGAGAGGTGGCTTCTTGCCAGAAGGAGGAGGAGGTGGCTTCGGCTTATAGTTCAACGTAGGGTTCGCCAGTAGACCATTTGGCTTGCCTTCATTCTTACCATCTCGTTGCTTCGGTCCATTAAGCATCTTCACTGCGACAGGGTCATTCTTGCCATAGTAACGATCTTGGATATTCTGTCTTGCCAGAGGATCGTCCTTATCACGTGGCATCTCATGCAGATATGGACACTTGTCACCCCGATTGCACTCTCCTCGTGCGTAGAATGAGCACAAGTGTGCACGATTGCGCTTGTAATACGGTTCACGACGAGCAATTCGCAGTAGTGCATTGTTGGCTGATCCTGATGCTTTCCCATATGCCGATACTAGTCCTTCCTGCTCCAACATGCGGCTGTGCTGCTGTGAGAACCATTCGCGGTTGGCGTCGCTTTCGGGAACGTTTATCGCCAGTTGATCTCCTCCCTCCTCCCTAGCCATGACAGTATCGCGTACCTGCACCGGCAAATGATATTGTAGATCCAAAACACAGCATTGACATACATTCTTCATGCGCGCACAAGTCTGGCACACTTCTGTCTTTTTGTAACGCGCGCGCTTGCCCGGTTTCCAGCGAAAGACTGTAAAAGGGCGAGCGCAAATCTTGCAAGCGCTACCATAAGCCTCTTTCATCATACGCACGTAAGGATTCTCCCCTAAACAGCTCTCACAAAGTAGTGGAAACTCGTCCGACTCCCACGCTGTCTTGGTCGCATCTGCCTTGATAGCAAACCCACGTTCTCCCATATTTTGATTTTGCACGATTGCTTTCCTTGATCTAAATACTATACCAAAAACGCGATTACGCAGTGTGATTCGCTAAAATCAGTTAAATGAGCAGAGGCTAGTCATCTAGTTTGTGATGGCATCAGTATTGCGGCATTCGGGCGTGGCTCGGCTTATTGATCGACAAGTGACACAGCTACATGGAGCAGATGCATCTCGATTTATTCAAGCGGTGCTTACAAATGATGCTAAGCATTTGACGCACCGCGGTTCTGCAATTTATGGTGGATTTTTGAGCTCAAAAGGTCGCATTGTAGGCGATTGTCACGTGCTGCAGCTCGCAGACGACACGTTCTTACTGGATTACGATGATAAATTAAAAGAAGCACTATTTAAACACTGGAAGCGCTATAAGTTGCGCATGAATGTGGAGATTAAAGATGTGACGGACGCTTTTGACGTTTATGCTACGATATCCGCGCTCGTGGATGACATGGATGCGGCATTAGTACCTAAGATTCGCATGCTGGATCAGCTTCAGACACTAAATTCTGAAAACAATGCGATGATTTTTGCTGATCCCCGCGGAAAGTCTTTTGGCACGCGAGCAATCGTTCCTGCCGGCTCATCCTGTACGAAAATATTTTCCATGAACATTTTACGGGCTACAATGGCTAATACTTTTATTTTTTGAGACAGTAAATTTACCTGCAGGACACGAAATGATGGATGCGTCAGCATTCTCAGACCATCAAATCGCCCTTGGTGTTGCAGAAGGGTAAGCCGTCACAAAGGCGTTGCAAGTGGTCACTGACTGTATGTATCTGTAATGCAGCAAAGAGATGGTAGAAGAAATTCCTCTCGAGTGCAATCTTGATTTGATGCAGGGTGTATCCTTCCAAAAAGGCTGCTATGTTGGTCAGGAGCTTACCGCTCGCACGCAGTTCAAGGGCAACGTTCGCAAGCGCTTGGTACCGGTTGCTTTAATTCCTTCGGATCAGCACGACGTAGTTAAAGCTTTGTCACAGCTTAACTTCAAGTCATTTGATGCGCCGTCCAATGCTTTATTGCGTGCATACTTGGCTGACTCAAAAGGTTGGCACCCTGCAAACTCACCGAAAGTTGGATGCAAAATTATCGCGCCTGGCGAAACGAAAGCAGTCGGAACATTAGTGAAAGTAGGGAAAGACGTGAGATGCGCCGTTTCGATGATGCGATTAGCAAAGCTTCATCCTCCGGTATCAGAAGTGAGTGGGATTGTACCCAGTATAGACTTTCAAACGGAAGACGGTAAATTTTGTGCCGTTCCTTATCAACCGCCCTGGTGGCCTCAGCTAAACTTGATGACAGGCAAGATGGTGCTTTGATCTTAGCGGCGGGTTATGATTATTCTGCAGTACAATTTTTTGCAAGTAATGAAATTGATGCATGATTTTCATCCACCTCGAGTGAATCGTATATGTATGCGCCACTTCTTGGACAACGTTGCTAGAGCACCAAAAAAATCTTTTAATGAAAGTTAAATAGCTTCATGCAGACCCTCAAATTAAAGAGCCTATCGTGTGTGTATGGACACGGCACAATATAATAATGTAGGTATCACCACGTAATCGTACATTGAGAAAGCGACGCAGTATCATTTTGAATCACATGTTAACGCTCAGAAAAAGGAATCATTTGATCGAAATGCTTGCGAAAACCCGTGACCTCCCCCGGCAAAGCTGAATCCTGGGTCCATATCATCGTCGCGAGGCATGCGCAAGTGGTCAGGTCCTGGACCTCCAAACGGCATTGTTGGTGCCGGGCCACGCGAAGGGGGACGAAAGCCACCACTAGGGCCAAGAGGATCGATTGACGGACCAAACGGATCAAAGCGAGCACCAGGCACAGGTCCCACGGATGGGTTTCCACGATGGCCGAAAAGTGGATGATCGGGACCAACCAACATATCTGGGTTTCCGCCGCCAATACCAGGAGGAAATGCGTCTCCGCGACCTACCTTTCGAAATCAAAAGCACCAGGTCAAAATCGAGAACATTGCTACTAGAAGCTTATGAGCAATTTGTACCGAAGGATAAGTCGTGGGGGCTGGCATACCGAGTCTGGAAGCTGGCTTGTTAAGCTGAGACGTTATTTCTTTTCTGTTTAACGGTCGAATTTTTTCAGCGAATGGGATAAACTCCTTCCGCAGTCCGTCCAAATCATGAAGCACGTTTGCAGCAGACATTGGTGCAGAATTTTCAACAGAAGCAATGAACTTGTCAATGCTGCACCAACAAATATGACATCAGGACAGAACATCAGAAGTTCGCTTCTACCAAATCAAACCTCAGTTCAATTGAGTGCGTGTGGTCATTATCGTCTGAGATGAACACTTCGAACTTGCGACCAACAAACAGACCCTATAATACGTGCGAAAACATCATATCAAGATATTGATGACTGGAATCGGTCGCTACCATACCTGAAGTAAGAATTTGACCGAGTCGCTGTTCGGGTGGACGTAGGCAGCGGTAAACAGGCCGTTTGCACTGTTAGCGTCCCAATTCTCGGGCAGCGAAAAGTCTGAAGTTGAATCCACCAACAATTTGTAGCCTGCACACATAAGAATCTAAGCTTAAAGTGTCTCTTTCTATCAGCAAGTTTGTGACAGTACCAGCTTCAAGGAGCAGCGCGTGTACGGCTACAAACAATGCATCTCGAGACATCCGCACCGTCACCTCTTTTTCCAAAAGCCTCGATATAATCTCATCATGTCTATTGCTTTCGCCTTGTACCAAATTGGCGGCTGATCCTGACTGCTCTGATATTTCGGATGCGTCAAACGAGTCCAAAGCCTTTGCCATGTGCGTCTAGATGAATGACATGATTATTTTTCATTACAGTCAGTCCAAGCAAAGGCAGAAGTATCTAAGCAAGAATTTGATACATCTTGAGACGTTTTACCTTAAGATTTTGGTCAGAAATACTGTCGATTGCTGCGCGAAGATGCGCTTGCTCCCGTTGAAGTCGTTCGTCTGCCATGTTTCTTTTTGGAATGGGACAAAGCTACAGCAACATTTCATTCAGTATGATACGAAAGCTTGTGTTGCGCAAATCCAATATTAGCATAGTAAAGGTATAAGAAATACTGTAATTCTAGCGAAGTTTTTGTTAAAAATTTTTTACAGTTGAGTAGCATGGCGCATGCTTCTGCCGCGCTGTCGTTTTCTGAGTTAATAGAAGGATTTACTAAAACAACTCAAGGCGACGATACCACTCGTATTGAGTATTTAGAGTCCCTTGACGAGCGGTTGTGTTCGCCAGTTCCTGCTTCTGATGTAAAGATACTTGAACACTTAAAGCGCAGCCTTTTGGAGGGCGAGTTGCAAGCTGCTAATAGCGACAACGCATCGGAGCTGCACGCAGCCAGATGGAAGCTTCTCACAAAGATAGTACGTGCTTGTGGTGTTAAGATCAGCTTTATCGATCATGAATTGCAGGCGTTATTGAGTTTAATGCTCACGGAGCGATTCGAGGCGAATAATGTGCTGACTGCCATGGCTCAATGGCTGGTGGAAATGAGGAACAATCACATATTGACGATTGCAAACTTGTTAGAAATGAAATTTTCACAACAAGATGAAAGAAGTTCCCTTTTGCATCTAATCAAGCAGATGTATGTGACGTTGAGACGCCCACGTCTTCGACAGGAGCTTGCTGAAGTCTTAGAAAATCTTGTGACATCGAAAGACACAGCTAAGGAAATCATTGCGTCTGGGATGCTGCGATGTCTTTTGCTAGTCGCTTTAGAGCAACCGGACGAGAAAGAATTGCTGCAAAGCTTTAATTTTGTGGGAACGCGAGTCGCGTCATTCGTTTGTGTCGAATTTAAGTCTGCTATCGATAAAATGAAGTGCGATGTTATGTTGGTCGATGAAAGGAATCGGTTTGCCTGTGAATTGGTAGTAGCACTTGGGTTGAGCAAAATGTCACTTGTGTTTGCAGACGCAGTACGCATGTTGCAGTTGTTGGCAGATAACACCGCGTACCGATCGTTGCTTCCTGCAGTCCAAGATCTACGTGGATTTCTGGAAAAGGCCCAGACTTTAGCAAGAGTAGGGAGTCACATCGTTAATCAGGACGAGTACCTGAAAAAATTGTGTCAGACTCAGTACATACTCCTGAGTCCCGAAATTGACACATACGAGCGTGTACACGGAAGCGTTGTAGGATTACCATTAAACGACGATATTGGTTACGATGGCAAAGGAGCAGAAGAGGCTTTAATGCTAGCCTCAAACTATAAATCACAGGGCAACGTGTTATTTCGTCGTGGCAACTATCCAACAGCACGAGCTTTTTACCAGCGTGCGGTTGCAGTGCTTAAAGCAGCACAGTTGCACGAAGAAAGTTTGCTTCGAGCACTATCTAGTGACCAACTACTGAAACGCTGCAGCATAGGCACCAGTGTGCAAGTTTGTTCACGTGTAGGGGGCGATTGGCAAAATGCGATGGTCTCCGATATTGACGAAGGCGCTTCTAGCCAAGTCGAAGTAATATATGATGCAGGCAACAGAGAAGATGAGTGGATACCAATCTCTCGAATACGGCTGCGCATGAATACGATGCTACTGAGCTCATTTGATGACCTTGCGGTAGATTGCTTTATGAACATGGGGAAATCGTCTTCTGCTCTTGGCGATCACAATCCAGCAATTCAGTGCTACACTCACGCGCTAAATCTTCGCGGCGGCAAATTTGTAGCAGCACTGTATTTTCGTGGAGTGGCTTATATGGCGCAACGTGAGCTTACGGCTTCACAGCAAGATCTTTGGAACGCCAATCAGCAGTGCCGCCTACAACAGAAGAGTAGCAAAGGCGGTGGTACGAGTGAGACCAACACGAAAGATGCGATTCAAATGCGTGCTTTAAACAAAAGAATCTCAGACGCGTACAAGAAACTTCAGGAACTGCACGCAAAAAAAAAGAAACTTGACAAGAAGGTCGTCAAGCAGATGCTAAGATATTTGTCTTCAGTTCCGGAACTTCAAGACCAGTCATATTCCTCTAACTAGATGTTTATAAAACCATGATGAAGAAAAACAGTGTCTATCCGTAAATAAAAGTTAGGTAAAATATCGTCTCGAAACTATGCTGGCCCAACGCGAATTCCTTTGGTAGATTGCTCGTAAGCAACTGATTCCATAAGTATCCGCTGTACCCTGGGATGTTCGATAAAACGTTGCAGCTCTGAAATGGCGCGCTCGACGTGACCTTCTTGATTGTTCAGATATGCATACTCCTCTGCGATGTTTTGGTAGCGTCTCGTAATTTCTGTCACCTGCAACAATATCGTAATGTTAGGAAATCATCGATCCAACCAAAAAGAATATTAATCTACCCTTGCTTTAGATGGCATACGATAGCAAATCTCTTTTTGCGCATTGATATCTGCAAAGGCCTTCGCCAGTGGATCAACATGTTGCTCCAAATTTTCATCTTCATCACCTCTAAGAAAGCGCGAAACGGACGTAGCAACTTTACCAAGCTTGCTCATCAGTTTCGTCGACATCTCCTTCGCTTTTTCCGTCTGTTCTGCACTTAAGAAGGGCAACAATTGCGCTGCTGATCCTGCAGCCGCTTCGTCACGACTATACTGGCGAGAATCATTTATCATAGCCCTTAAATCTCTGATAATATCATCCGTGTACGGGCTTAAAAAAGTTCGACACAGCAATGATCTGTCTTTAAAAAATAGTGTCAATGACTTGCCTCGCTGGGGAGTGATGCGCACGACATCTTTTAGTGATATCAAATCTTGGACATAGACATAGTCGTTATCTTTTTCCACCTTTCCATGTTTCGACGAAACGATTAGCGCGATATTACCCGCTTGCAACAGTAAATGTACGTGTTTCAGTGTTGAAGTTGCTATATCAACCTCTTGACATGGATACACTGTTCCACGCACGTCCCGTCTACGCATTTTCATTGGTTTCTTGCTAGTGCTATGTTGTTGCCGACTTTTGATCTTCAAGGTGCTTTTGTTTGACAAGGATATACACGGAGTGGGGTCAAGACGCTGCACCTCCTGAAAAAACTCGTGCATTAGCATTCGTAGCGAAGTAGACGGACTCCATTTATCTAATAACGGTAGCTTGAGCATAGTGATGGTTTCTTTAATACCAGGTTTGGTTACTTTGCGTTCGCGCATTTCGATAGGTAGGTAGAAGGCGCCATG